TGGTTTAAGGCAATGTGACCCTTTATCACCTTATTTATTCATTATTTGTGCTGAATGGCTTTCGTTATTGCTATAACAGGCGCAGGCAAAAGGGGAAATCCATGGCTGTAGGGTGGCTAGGGGAGCACCACCCATCTCCCATCTATTCTTTGCTGACGATAGTCTGCTTTTCTTTAAGGCGACCGCTCAGGAGGCAGGAGTGGTTAGGCATTGTTTAAAAAAATATGAAGAAATGTCTGGGCAGGCGGTTAACTATCACAAGTCAAATATATGCTTTAGCAAGAATACCCGGGATGATATACGAGAGGAAGTAGCTAACATATTGGGGGTGGTGCAGGCCCCGAATTTTGGTAAGTATTTAGGACTACCATCATTTGTGGGCAGGAATAGAAAAGCAGCGTTCTCGTATATTGAGGACAAGATAAGGCAGAGAATTGGCTCGTGGAACAAGAAACTTTTATCACAGGCAGGATAATAGGGCTGCGGTCCATAATCTGGTTGCGATCAGATATACATGATAATAGGGTTGCGGTCCACCGTTTGTACCGATCAAACGTTTATGATATAAATGAGCCGTGGTTCATTGATTGGTTGCGATCAATCTCCTTGTGCTGCGGTACAAGTTAAAGTGCTGCAGGGCCATGTCAGAGCTATATGTACTGACCCCTTGGTAATGGAACTCAAGGTTCGGGTCATGTGAATGGTCCTGCGGCACCACCATATGTGTGTACACCAATGCGTGTCTTATTGTTGATTGTTTGACTGTAATGATAACTGGATATCGATATGATTAATATTGCGCAGTCGTAAGACCCTAGGATGCATGCTAGAATCTTTATGGTTGAGTCTAATTGTATTGAATGTATCTGCTGTTGCTTGACTAAGTCTGTTTTCGGATTTAAATTAGAGTTTCTTAAGTATATATGTATTCCGGTTTCAAAATGAGTTTCTTATATCTACCTATACTGTACTTAACGCGTTGGAGTGGGTTACCAGCATTATTCGCTGACGGTTGTTATACTGAATGTTTTTCAGGTGGTGAGCCTTAGCTTTGGAGCGCGCTAGTCAGAGCCTGGACATAGATAGATTAGTTCAATTATCGACCTGCGTTCCTTGAAGTTGTATTGAATATTGATTTGAAGATTTCTTATGTTTGGATAGTTTAGCCTGTGCATCTGAGTTCTCCAGCTCAGATGTGGCATAGCACCCCGACTATTATGTTTAGTTTACGCTTTGTTTGGGAATTTATAATAGATTTGCCTTTATTTCATAAGATTTAAAAGTTTTAAAAATTAGGGGTGTTACACTACCGGTTTCCCAAGACAGTCCACGTCGGGGTGGTCACTTCCACACTTCTTGCAAACGGAGCGCCTTCCCTTAGCCTTGTTGTTCCGGACTGGCCGGTGAGTCTTACCTCTCTTAGAGTCGTCTCTTTGAAGACTTGTTGATTCAACACCAGTAGTCATCAAACTCCTAACCACAGGTGTAACGCTTCCATCAAGCTTCCTCTTACGTTTCTTCCGGATTCCTTTCTGAACTTGCTGTACCCGGTAGGGGTCGGCTGCATAAAGGTAGGCCTCCTTGACATGAGCAGGATAGAACCGCTCTCGTAACTTAACCTTCAGGTTTTCCCAACTAAACTCTGGATCTTGTCTACAAACTGGCCTTTCAAACATCCACCACAAGTCCGCTTCTTGCCTAAGGTAGAACGTAGCCAACTCTACTTGGCAATCCTCCGGGCAAACCACAGCTTCGAAGATCTTGTCAAACATCCGGATCCACTCGTCCAGCACTGTGGGATCTTCTTCACCGGCGAAGAACGGGGGACGGAGACTTGAAACTTGGCATACTACCTCCCGATTCCCATTCTGAGGAGGGTGGTTGTTGTCGAGGAGGGCGTTGCTCAGCGTCTGGGTGATCTGCATCAGCTGATGGAGGCTTTGAGTTAACTGTTCGTTGGTGACCACTTCTGAAGACCTTGCACGACGTCTCGATGGTGCCATCCTTGACTTCTACAGAAACAGCACGATAACTGGAAGAAACTAATGGCCCGCACCCTTACCTGGTGCCCTAACTAAAGAAAACCAAAGCTAAAAGGAAAACAAAGCACAGGAATCACAACAGAAACGATAAGAGAACTCACAACCTCACCGCGCGTCCTAAAAGTCCTAAGTCCTAAACACTTAGGTACTTAAAGGTCATCTTATGGTCTCAAACCGCACTTAACTTCTTAAAGTCCAAATCCTAACATCCTAGGCTCAAACCTAGGCTCTGATACCAACTGTAACACCCCGATTTTTACCACATTTTTAAAACTTAAATGCACAAGCAAACATCTAATCATCAAGACATAAAACAACGAAAACTATATAAAACCAGGGTATGTTATACCACACCTATCTTAGATATAGGTGCACAGGCGGGAAAAATAATCAATTCAACAAGTCATAAAGTATTTAGGCGCACAGGCCACTAAAACAGGCTCACAGGCCAACAACACATAACGTCTAGACAAAGGAGCTAAGCTATCTAGCGATCCACGTCTAGCGCTCTCAAACATCTACTCAAAACCTGTAGAACAAGGGAAAAACATGGGGATAACACCTGGTCAGCGAACATTGCTGGTAACCCATCAATACGCGTTAAATAGCATATATGAATAAGTATAAGTCAAAACCATTTTGAAACGGAATACAGTATATATCATTTCAAAAGCTATAGAGAGAAGTCAACTTCAAGGACTCATTAACACTCTTAAAAGGAAAAGGAATCACCATCCTTACAACAACAACAAAACAAGAAACATGAAAGTCAAAACAACTCAAGATGCATTCTACTGATCACAAAGTAGAATAAATCGAGACATGCTCATAAGCAAAGATTACATATTCACAAAACGGCAACTACATGCCGCAGTGACAAATACATATCACAAGTAACATAGATCCAAGTTCCAACCTTATGCCCTGTTCCAACCTTATGGCTACCTCCGACCTTATTTCAGATCCAACCATTACCTCCGAGTAACCCCTGTACTTCTGAGTCCAACCTTATGCCTCCGGGAACCGTCGTTCCCCCACCAACATCCACCAACATTTCCACCAACATATCAGTACACGAGGGTACGATTCATTTCACACAACCACCAACATGTGAGCCAAGCTCAGGTAACAACCACCAACATATAAATCATAGTCACACAAGTCATCATCATTACCGAGAAGACTAAGGCTCAACAATAGCCTCAATTAAGTATCAACAAAAGGTTACACCGATTGCATGCGTTCACATCATAGGAATCAATTAATGGATCACAACAAAGACATGAAACCATACTCAACAACGAAGGATCACGATCCAACACCAAACGATGGTCAACACAAGTTGCCCATCCCAATAGGAAAGAACGAACCACACATACTAGCATTTCAACACCAAACTAGCATGTTTATCAAACGGGTAAACCAAAAGTAGTTTCAAAGAACATTCAAGACTCACAATAGCCCAACGAGTCACAAAGTTGGACCCTTAGCACGATTCAAGACACCAAATCCTACATGGATTCCTAACATACCGTTCTAGACATACGAAACGTCAAGAAGGCTCACAAATAGCCCAATAAAACAACGTCGGGAGGTCAAAACATTAATACCGAGTCAAAAGAATCATGGGGAACAAATCCCCGGCAACAACCATACTTGTTCCCCGCGGGTGGGGCCACGGTGGACAACCACCCGCGGTTCCGCCCGCGGGTACAAAACCCATGAGGAACCTGTTCCCCGCGGGTGGGGCGGCGGGTAGGCCTCTGCACGCCGTTCTGCCCGGGGGTACCACCCTGTACACCAAAATATCCCTTCGGGGATTTTCAACAACAAGTCCAAATTCAAGTCCAAAACACCCAAAATCTCACACAAAACAACAATATGACTTTAACCCAAGAAATAGCCAAGCAATGGCATTCAAGAACCCTAAGAACAAGCTCTAAACATGCATCACCACAAGACAATGCATTAAATCTCACAAATCAACACAAGAATCACAAGTAGAAGCCAAGAATCATCATATAAGTAAGAAAATAGGTTTTGTAAAGCATGGGTTACCTTTGTAGCCTAATAACTTCCTCTTATCACCCTTAGAAAGCCTTTCCTAAAGCTCCTCTTCCACACCAACTTCATACACAAACCAAAAGACAACAAAGATTCTATCTTTAGAAAAAGACACCTAAAAGGAGGTTAAAAACACCAAAAGACCAAGGATCTTACCCTCCCCTATGCTCAAGATGAAGAAAGTAGGAATCTTGGGAGACAAACTTGCAAGACTTGGGTGCTCAAATCCTAGCTTGGAGAAGAAGCTACACCTTTTTAGAGAGAGGCTAGAGATTTTTGTGTTTAGATTGCAGGGTGAATGAAATGAAGGAGTGTTGCTAGGTTAGCTTGAACCACAAACCTTAGGTAGAAAGACATCCCTACCCTTACTAAAGTTGGAAAGACAAGGGAACAAGGACACAACTCAAGAAGCACAAGGTACAACCCTTTGACTTAAGTGACTAGTCAAAATCTAGTCCCTCGACTATTGAATTTCAAGATTTTTAGGAATAAATTAACAAAGAGACTAGGATTAATTCTCTAATTAATCCTTGATTAGAGTTTGGATTTACGGGGTGTCACATTAGTTCTAATGACAATACTTCGATGATTTTAGTGAATCCGCCATTAACCGGTAGTCCGAACTACGGAACGTGGAACATTTCTATGCGGATTGCTTTAGAGGTAAAAAAACAAGTGGACCTTATTTGATGGAAGCACCACACCTCCGAACAGGGAAGATATCCTATACGCAGCTTGGAGACGATGCAATCTAATGATCTGTGTTTGGATCTTCATATCGGTTCATTCGTCGATCGTACAAAGTATTATGCCCTTCGGGAAAGCCAGTGATATTTGGGAAAGATCTAAGGAGAAGGTTTGCTCAATAGGATGCTCAACAGGATCCAAGGAGGAATGTCGGTCAACGAATACTACACTAAAAACCAGACGTTATGGGAAGAAATGAACAACCTCAGGCCACTCCCTCTATGCAAGTGCAATGCCAGGTGCTCATGTGATCTGGTAGAAGTGATCAGAAAGGAGAGGGACATCGATCAAGTGATTCGGTTTCTACAAGGCCTTAATGAGGATTACAACAACTTGAAGGCTATGTTTCTCGTTTTGGATCCTTTGCCGGAGGTCTATAAGGTCTTCATGATGCCCCAGAAACTTTAAAGACAAATCAGATTAAATCACTTGAATTTGGGAGGATTAGATGCTAGTCAGTCTAATGCCGTCCAGAGCTCCATGGGAGAGGAAAATCTAGCTGCTACTCTGAATGTGTACAATGGCAGGAAGAGTAATGTTGCAAAAGCCAAATGTACATTCTGTGGTATGTCGGGGCACACGGTGGACAAATTCTATAAAAAACCACGGTTACCTTCCCGGGTGGGTACCGGGCTACAAATCAAGAGGGAAGTAACAATCCACAACAACTGTTGTTAACGAAAAAGAACTGGGAATCACTACTGAACAGCTACGAAGAATCATATCTATCCTACAACCTGGACAGAATTATGGATCATCTGATTCAAATCATGCAAATAATGCAGGTAGCACCACTGCAGCTGTGGCTTTAACCCCCAATTTCGATGAGATAAACAGCAACAATGAAGGCAGGTATTCAATTAACTCTCTGTCTTTATGTTCTACTACTTGGATAATTGACTACGGAGCCACAAATCACATAGTTTGTTCACTTGATTTCCTTGTTAACTATCATATGGTGGAGGGAGTTGAGGTGAGTTTACCTACTGGTAAAAATATATCTGTCAGGCATATAGGAGACATAAGGATTAATGACAGTTTATGGTTGAAAGATGCACTTCATATTCCTACATTCAAGTTCAACATTATTTCTGTGAGTAAGTTAGTTAAAGACACAGCCTGCAAACTAACTTTCATGCCTAAACAGTGCCTGATTCAAGCGTGTCATGGGTTGATAGCTGGTATAGCTAGAGAGGAGGGTGGTTTGTACCTTCTGATGCAGTCACCAAAGATGGCGGACAAACACTGTGCTTTGCAATGTAATAGTCCGGAGCTTTGGCACCGGAGATTGGGGCACTTCCCAACCAATAAACTGCATCTTCTTTGTGATGTTGATACCTCTATTACAAAAAAAAAAAAAAAAAAAAAAAAAAAAAAAAAGAAAAACCCTTAGCTTGTGATATATGCCATTTAGCTAAGCATAAACGTTCATCTTTTCCTTTGAGCACTACATGTTCAAAAGCTTGCTTTGATTTGATTCATATGGATATATGGGGTCTTTTTCCAATGTGTTCTTTGAATGGGGAATATCACTTCCTAACAGTGGTTGATGATTTTTCGAGATTCACTTGGATACATTTGATGAAAAGTAAATCTCAGACCAGACAATTTGTGAAAGAGTTACATGCTTATGTGTTTACACAGTTTGGGATTTTGATAAAAACAATCCGAAGTGACAATGGTCTTGAATTCAAAATGAATGAGTTTTTCTCAACTAATGGCATTATTCATCAACAATCATGTGTAAATACACCACAACAAAATGATGTGATTGAAAGAAAGCATCAACATATTCTTAACGTGGCAAGATCTCTTAGATTCCAAGCTAATGTCCCTTTGAAATTTTGGGGGCACTGCATTATGCATGCTGTCTTTATCATAAATAGACTTCCTTCTCATATCATTGACATGTTAAGACCTTTTCAGAGGCTATATGGTAAGAATCCTTATATTAGCAACCTCAAGGTGTTCGGTTGTCTGTGTTATGTTACTACCTTGCCAGTTGCTAGACACAAAATGGCACCTCGAGGAAGAAGATGCATGTTTATAGGCATTCCAGCAGGGGTAAAGGGTTTTCTGCTCTATATGATGTGGATGATGACTCCGTGTTTATATCTAGAGATGTCACGTTCTATGAAGCTCAATTTCCCATGGCAGAAAAGGAATGGTCTAATCAAAACCAACCATATGAGAGGCCATCCCTTCCTAATGTTCCTATCTCTTTGGATTTTGAGTTGCAGACTCAACACACTGGAACAAGTCAGTCCTGTGACTCCTATGAAACAGTACCAAGCCACAACAACCAACAGTTTCAAGAGGTTGAATCTAGTGAGCCTAGCCACAATGGCAACTATGCTAGGGATCTTGATTCTAGCCAAACCAACAGCTCATCCCCGGTCTCAGTAAGTCCAGAATCAAGACCTTCCATATTAAGTGAGTGATTGCTATAATCTGCAAGCGCACAGAGTCAATCAGAGTATAAATTCCTGGAGTATTCCAGGGTCGATCCCACGAAGAACACTATTAACTGTTATCTTAAATAATCAATTTGTTGATTAGGAAAAACGCAAATAATTAGAATTAATATAATTAAAAAGAATATTTATGAAATTAAAGCAATGAAAATTCTAATTGAGAGAAGACTAGGGATTTGGGGTTCACCTATTAGATAATTAACTAACTCTCCTAAGTATTAATTCTTACGAATATAGTGATGATTGCTTCAAATATATCCTAATACTCCGTCGAGCTACTAGGTTGTATCCAATTAACTGTGATCATCCGTCGATATCTCACCAACATTAATTAAACCCATTAAGCAACAATTAAATATCACCACAAATACCTAAAGCTATGTCTAGTTTAGGTCAATTGTGTTTATCTTACGAGTTCTAGGTTCATAATTCACCTGTCAGTTCTTCCTATGAACCCTAATGTTAGAATTATGCAGTGGCCAGTCACACAATCAACAATTAAAATACATAAAATAAATATAATCAAGTTCAATTATTAAATTGAAATTGGAAGAATTAACACATGGAAAATAGTCAATTAATCTAATCAAGGCTAATCCAAATCCCTAATTAAAGTTCTAGCCAATAATCATCATAGTTGAATGCATAAACTATTCATGAAATATTATTCCGGAAATCTAAACAACAAATAAAGTGGAGGTGAAGGGAAAAATATTCAAGCCTAAGAAACAGTAGTCGCAATTGAAGCTCGGAACTTCCTGGCGATGGAGTCTCCAATTTCTTCGAAGTGGTTGCCGCTCCTAAGCTTTCGTCCTCTCTCCTTTCTGTCGAACCCTCCAATCTTTTCTTCCTTTCTTTTCTCTCTGCTTCCGTCTCTTCCGTAATGTTCTGCCGAAACTCCCAAAAAAACCAAAAAACCCCCCAAAAGCAACGCCTTTTCTTTCCCTTATATTGCTGCGCCAATCCCATAAAGAAAACAAAGAAAACTAATTTTAAAAGCCAAACAACCCTAACCTAATCACACTTAATAACACTTAATTATTAAAAATACTATTTAAAAAAAATCAAAGATATAAAATTACTAAGTAAATTTAATTTAATACTATAGATAAAATAAAACTCTTATTAATATTAATAAAAATGCAACATTAGCCTAATACTTATTAAAATCAATCTAAACTAGTAACATATAAATAATATAATATTTATTATAAAACCAACTCTAAAACTTAATTTATTTATGAAAATAACGGACTAAAATTACTCTAAATAATGCCTAGAAATTAAGCTTATCAAACTTCCCCACACTCAAGGTTTTGCTTGTCCCCAAGGAAACTTATTCAATGAAATCAAACTACCAACCATAACCATGTCAACTAGGCATTCAATTCAAGGAGATGGTAAACACATAATACTTCATGAGAGTTCAAAGTCATACGCACACAAGACAATAGAGAATAGTAGTCCTCACGGTTGTTCACTCAATCTCTCACAAATATATGTATAAGAAAGGTACACACCATCCTATATTGAGAGTGCACTTGCCATATGCTTGCTTGTCAACCAAAACTCCACTACCAAAGTTATATGAAGAACACGAGTCAAAAGGTCTTTATTTCTTGGTTGTAATGGGGTCAAGGGTATGTGGTTTAAGAAAGAAAGGATATAAGGAAATACAAATAAAGTCCAAGGGATCAGTAGAGTCATCATTTCACCGTATCAAGAGCAAGAACTTGTAAACCAATACAATGAACTCTACCAAAACAAACCATCATTTCTACTTCATTCTCCCTCATCCTTTTCACTGATAAACAACTTTCAAAACCTCCATCTCTTTTTCATCTTTTTTTTTTTTTTTTCACTTTTTCCTTTTTTTTCATTTGTTTTCTCTTTTTTTTTTCTCTTTTTTTCCTCTTGTTTTTTTCTGGTAAAACCGAATAAACACCTCATCATTTCCACATAACCCTCAATAGTACTCTTCCCATAATCTTCAAATTTATATCATGCCTTCATTGCTCACAAATCATTTTAAGAATAAAATGAGCACAAAAGTTTGGGCTAACAAGATTTTTCAACCCACAAAATAGAACATATCATTTTGTTCATTTTTTTTTCATTTTCACCCCCTTTGATCACAAACAATTCTTCACTCAAAGAAAACCAATTGTACAATGACCTTTCAACTCCAATCTCACCCATACTTCATCACTTTTGGTCATCTTGCACAGATAAATGAAATAATGACTTCTACTGACTCAAGGACGGGTTAAAAGGCTTCTTTTTATGAGCAAAGGTTCTTTGGGATTGGCTAATGAAGAAAAATGTCTTATATTTATTTTAAAGCTCAAAGTGGTTCACTGGGGGAAAGATAACATGTATAAGGATGTGGTCATTTTAAAGGCTATAAGGCTAAATCCTAATGCCTAAATCATTCTCGTGTCATCATATAACATGTAGTTCTGAAATGGTATAAAGCAAGTTCTAGAAGTAACACAATCAAAGAAGGCAATAAACACTCAAAATGAAAATAAGTTGCAGTGGACAACCTCTAGGCTCAAAAGCTCACGGTGTGACAGAATTTGACTACTAACTCTATGCAAGCATACATATAGCCAAACACATTCATTGATATTATGGACTCCCAAAACACTAGAACTTATCTCCCAACCAACATAGTCATTAGATGGCAGTTTTTAAACTTTATTTTGCTGAAAAATGAAGGGAACGATGCAGAAAATTCCAGAAAAATGCAGAAAATTAGTGCAAAAAATTAGAAAAATGCATGCAGAAAATTCCAGAAAAATGCATGCAGAAAACACCTCCTAAACTTTCCCTTCCCCACACTCAAACTCAACATTGTCCTCAATGTTAAATATAAAAGCAAGTATGAGAAAATGAAATAAACAGGAAACTTCCCTGTTAGTTGCCAGTTTCTTCCGGGCCTACCTTTTGGTGAAGTAACCATGAATGGTCTCTTTTTATCTCTTTCAATCTCAATTGCCTCATAAGAACGAACTGTAGTGGCCATGAAAGGACCAAACCATCTAAACTTCAATTTCTCTAGAAAAAGCTTAAGACAAGAATTAGACAACAAAACTTCCTGTCCTACATTGAATTCTCTCCAAAAATTATTTTTGTCATGCCAAGCTTTAGTAAATGTTCTCCACAATCTCTCTTCTTTTGCATGAAGTAAATGAGCATAAGAAAACATAAGAAAAGTATCATTGTCACTCAAAAATTCGTATTTGAACCGCAATGAAGGTGGTTTAAGTTCAAGTTGATGTAGTGTTTCACTAGGTGAATGCTTAACAAATTCTTCTTCTGAAGGTTTCTCAATAACATCAACAAAAAGACATGATTCATCAAAAGTTGGTAATTTTACAGCCTTAGAGATAGAGAATTCCTCTTTTCCTTTACCTACTCTAAAAATCAATTTCCCTAAAGGCATATCAATTAATACTCCTCCTGTGAACAAAAATGGCCTACCAAGTATAAGAGATGTATCTGTATCACTACCCATATCAAGAATCAGAAAATCAGCAGGAAAATAAAATTTACCAACTTTTACCAAGATATCCTCCACTACTCCAAGCGCGTACTTGACTGATCTATCAGCAAGTTGAAGAGAGATTGTTGTTGGCTTCATTTCAGCTATTTCCAACTTCTTAAAAAGAGTTAAAAGCATAAGGTTAATACTAGCACCTAGATCACATAAGCATTTATCAATAACAGTATTACCAATAGTGCAAGGAATAGAAAAACTTCCTGGATCCATTAGCTTAGGAGGTAATTTGCTTTGTAGAATAGCACTACACTCCTCATTTAGGTGCACAGTAGCAAACTCTTCCAATTTCTTTTTATTAGATACAATTTCCTTAATGTACTTGGCATAAGATGGCATATTAGCGAGTGCTTCTGCAAAAGGAATATTAATTTGCAATTTTTTAAAAACCTCTAAAAATCTTTTAAAGTTATTGTCATGGTTCCTCTTTTGTAACCTTTGTGGATATGGAATGGGGGGTACATAAGGTTTTACTGTAGAGGAAGTGAGGTTTTGATCACTAGAATTCTCTTTAGACACTTGCTCTTCTTCTTTATCACTCATGGGTTCTTTCTCTTTCAAAACTTCATTCAAAATCTTACCACTTCTCAAGGTGACAGCCATAGCTCCTTCCCTAGGGTTTAATTCAGTGGTACTAGGAAACTTGCCTCGATCTTTTTCTACAACCAATTTAGCCAACTGACCTACTTGCACTTCTAAATTATGAATGGATGCTTGGCTGGATTGAGCAAACTTATCAATTTTTGCATCCATTTTCTTCATCATCGTGTCCTGGCTAGCCATGTATTGCATGAACATCTCCTCCAATTGAGGCTTCTTCTCCTGAGCAAGAAGTTGAGACTGTTGTGGTGCAGGTGGCTGCTGGAAAGGTCTGTATTGCTGATGCTGGAATCCTGACGGTCCTTGTTGCTGAAATCCAGGTGGTCCCATTGGTCTTGCATTACCTTGATCTCTCCATGAGAAGTTAGGGTGATTTCGCCAACCTGGATTATATGTATTAGAAAATGGATCATTTCTTGGTTGTTGCCTACCCATGTTGGATCCCATGTAATAAGCTTCCTCATAAGATGGTTGTGATGACTCTGCATTCATACAAACAGAAGAATTATGACCATATGTATTGCAATAAGAACAAAATTCTCTATTCGAACTATCACGAGTCATCAATAAGTTCATCTGTTTAGTCAATTCAGCCACTTGTGTTGTCAACTCAGATTGTGTGCTAATTTCATGCACAGCAGTCCTTCGACCTCTCACTGCCTTTTGTCGAGAATTAGTAGCTAAGCTCTCATAGATAGCTTCTAATTCATCACTATTTTTATCACCTGTGTATCCACTTGCAGCAGTATCTACAAGAGACTGACAATTAGGAGTTAAACCATCATAAAAGAATTGTGTCAAAAGCAATTTAAAATGATCCCATGCTTCATGAAATAATTCACCCTCTCTTTGAGTGAAAGTGCATATCCTACTCCTATAGTCCATTGTCTTTTGAGATGAATAATATTTAAACATGAAAGCATTGTAAACATCATCCCAAACTCTTAAAGAACCCTCTGGTAAATTTAACAACCATTGCCTAGCATCACCCCTCATGCAATATGGAAAGCATTTCATTCTAAGCTCTTCTTCAGATAAATTATTTAAAGGTAAAGTTTGTACCGTACTATAGAGCTCTAGCATGAAACCCAAAGCATCTTCACTTCCCAAACCGTTAAAGGTAGGGAGCATATTCAGATGGAAAGTCTTGAGTTCATAATTTCTAGCTGCATCAGATAATTGAATGCAAGAAGGATTAACAGCTATTACCGGTCTTTGGATGTCTCGAAGACGTGGTTGAGCTGCTTGATTTTGAGGAGGTGGAATTATTGAAGGTACGGGGTCATCCAGTTGACCCACTCTATTATTTTCAGCCATTTCAAGCCGCCTTCGTACCCTGTTTTTTCTGCAAGTACGCTCAATTTCAAGATCAATAGGAAATAATTCCGCGTTTTATGCCTTAGTGAACGCCTTAAGTTCATAAACAAACGAAATAAAAACAGAAATATAAAAACTAAATAAATAAAAATAAAAATAAAATAATAACGAACCTAACAACCTAAAAAAAAATTTTGAAAAGAAAATTTTAAGGAAAACAGTTTAATAAAGTATTCCCCGGCAACGGCGCCAAAACTTGATTGCTATAATCTGCAAGCGCACAGAGTCAATCAGAGTATAAATTCCTGGAGTATTCCAGGGTCGATCCCACGAAGAACACTATTAACTGTTATCTTAAATAATCAATTTGTTGATTAGGAAAAACGCAAATAATTAGAATTAATATAATTAAAAAGAATATTTATGAAATTAAAGCAATGAAAATTCCAATTGAGAGAAGACTAGGGATTTGGGGTTCACCTATTAGATAATTAACTAACTCTCCTAAGTATTAATTTTTACGAATATAGTGATGATTGCTTCAAATATATCCTAATACTCCGTCGAGCTACTAGGTTGTATCCAATTAACTGTGATCATCCGTCGATATCTCACCAACATTAATTAAACCCATTAAGCAACAATCAAATATCACCACAAATACCTAAAGCTATGTCTAGTTTAGGTCAATTGTGTTTATCTTACGAGTTCTAGGTTCATAATTCACCTGTCAGTTCTTCCTATGAACCCTAATGTTAGAATTATGCAGTGGCCAGTCACACAATCAACAATTAAAATACATAAAATAAATATAATCAAGTTCAATTATTAAATTGAAATTGGAAGAATTAACACATGGAAAATAGTCAATTAATCTAATCAAGGCTAATCCAAATCCCTAATTAAAGTTCTAGCCAATAATCATCATAGTTGAATGCATAAACTATTCATGAAATATTATTCTGGAAATCTAAACAACAAATAAAGTGGAGGTGAAGGGAAAAATATTCAAGCCTAAGAAACAGTAGTCGCAATTGAAGCTCGGAACTTCCTGGCGATGGAGTCTCCAATTTCTTCGAAGTGGCTGCCGCTCCTAAGCTTTCGTCCTCTCTCCTTTCTGTCGAACCCTCCAATCTTTTCTTCCTTTCTTTTCTCTCTGCTTCCGTCTCTTCCGTAATGTTCTGCCGAAACTCCCAAAAAAACCAAAAAAAAACCCCAAAAGCAACGCCTTTTCTTTCCCTTATATTGCTGCGCCAATCCCATAAAGAAAACAAAGAAAACTAATTTTAAAAGCCAAACAACCCTAACCTAATCACACTTAATAACACTTAATTATTAAAAACACTATTTAAAAAAAATCAAAGATATAAAATTACTAAGTAAATTTAATTTAATACTATAGATAAAATAAAACTCTTATTAATATTAATAAAAATGCAACATTAGCCTAATACTTATTAAAATCAATCTAAACTAGTAACATATAAATAATATAATATTTATTATAAAACCAACTCTAAAACTTAATTTATTTATGAAAATAACGGACTAAAATTACTCTAAATAATGCCTAGAAATTAAGCTTATCAGTGAGCGTAGAAACTTTGATGAGGCTCACATTCAGTCTAACAGAACAGCCATCCCTCAGCCAAGGCGATCTGACAAAAGCCGCCATGTTCCAGACAAGTTATTGGATTACTATTGCGATGCTATAGCTAATGAAAGGTCATTCCCTCACCTCCTATCAAAGGTTATCTCATATGGTAATCTCTCTTTTCCACACAAAAGGTTTTCTTTGGCTGTTAGTTCCATGTAGGAGCCACGAACCTATCATCAAGCTATACATCAGAGTTGTTGGAAAGAAGCAATGGCTATGGAAATCAAGGCATTACAATATAACCACACATGGATTTTGGTTGATTTGCCACCCGAAAAAACACCCATTAGGTGCAAGTGGGTATACAAAGTAAAGCTCAAAGCCGACGATTCCATAGAACGATACAAGGCTAGATTAGTAGCCAAGGGCTACCCTCAGCAACTTGGAGTTGATTACATCGAAACTTTCTCACCGGTTGCAAGGATGACAACTATACGCACTTTCTTGGCTATGGAAACTTCTAAATCATGGCCATTTCATCAATTGGACATCAATAACGCATTCCTCCATGGTGATCTAGATGAGGAGGAATACATGGTGCTACCCCCCCCCCCCCCCCCCGTGTTTTGAAGGAGAAAGGCCAGGGCAGGTCTACAAACTCATGAGGTCTCTTTACGGCCTAAAGAAGGCTAGTCGACAATGGAATGCGAAATTAAACACTACCTTGATACATAGAAGTTTTGAGCAGTCGAAATCAAACCCTTCCTTATTTGCTAAAGGCTGTGATGCATCCTTCATTGCCATTTTAGTATATGTTGATGACATTATAGTAACCAGCCCGAGCCTGCATTTTTCAAGAACTCAAGGCCTTCATCAACTTTGCTTTCAGGATCAAGGATCTGGGCAATTTGGGGTTCTTTCTGGGAATTGAGGCACATATGAAGGACTCCGGACTGAATCTATGTCAACGTAAATATGCCCTCGACATATTGTTAGAATCTGGTTTCACTAACTGTAAGCCTGTCGATACTCCGATGGTTCATGGACTTCGATTAAGCAGAGAACGAGGCAGTGTTCTTAGTGATGCTGCTAGCTATAGACGTCTTGTTGGACGCTTGTTAGTATATATATACATACATACATACATACATACATACATACATACACACACACACACACACACACATACATACATACATACATACATACATACATACATACATACATACATACATACATATATATATATATATATATATATATATATATATATATATATATATATATATATATATATATATTTATTTATTTATTTATTTATTTATTTATATTTATTTATTTATTTATTTATATTTATATTTATATTTATATTAAAGCAAAATGAAGTAGCTAAAAAACTTCCCGCCCAAACCCAACGACGTCGTTTATAGATTAGTGATTATTTAATGTCTTTTGCGTTAGATAACGTGTAAAACTTATCAGTTTCCCAGGAATTTTTAAAAAAAATATTTTGCTTCCTTTAATATTTTTCTTACTAAATAATTCTAAACCAATCAGAATCAAATACGAATTTTAAATCTGTTGGTCTCTTCATTTTCCCATAAAATCTTTATGAAAATAATTATGCTAAGCTATTAATTAGGCTGCCTATTGTTTTCCAACGAAAGGCCAGGTCGTGTATTTTTGCAGCTATATATAAATCACATGCTCTGCATTACAACACCAGTTGCCATCTTCGAATCAAACACTCTCATCTACAAATTCTACAAATTGGTTCTAAACGCAGGTTACAATGTATGTTCTTGCTACAGATATTTCACCAATGAATACCCGAAACGCACTGCGATTGTGAGTTGTCAGGGCGTATGACATCCCAGAGAGGAGATCCTCTTCCATACTGAAATCGAAAGAAGTTGTCTTCCATGACCAACAGGTAATTTCTATTAGTATTACATGCCAAAATATGGGCAGAATATCTTTATTACAGTCCAGCAAAAACGAAGTGCATATTAAAAAAAAATTCTTTTGTATAATGCATGGCACATTCTTGCATGCCCACATACCTAAAGAGATTGTTGAAAAATTTCGTACGAAATTTACAGAAGGAAGTGTTTATGGTGTTAAAACTTTGTTGTCACCACAAATTTCTACTCTTTCAAAACCAGTTCGCACAAATTCATGATAAAATTTAATTATTAGACTGTCATAAAAGAGTTCAAGTCTACAAATTTCCCAATGCACATGTACAGGTTGATGGATTTCAAGACACTCAAAGCAAAGGAATCTGTGGATGAAAAGCAACTATTTGGTAATGCTACATTCTTAGCTTTTATTTGTATTGAATTTTCTAAGATTACAATACTCATCTTTTTTTTTTTCAAATTTTAGATGTAATTGGCCGTGTGGTAGAGATACATGCTCCATAAGAGAAGATAACAAATGGCAAAAACTTAAGGCTGATTGACTTTGTGCTAGAGGACTCTGAGTACGTATTTATTTTGTTATTTCTTCGTTTTATTTTTAAATTAATTTCACTGAAAACTAATCTCTATTGCAAATTTTAGTTGTATTCAATTGAGTTGTGCGGTATGAGATGACCACGTAAACAAAGTTGAAACGTACTATAATTCTGCTATGGAATAGTCAGTGTTGGTTTTAATACAGTTCTGTAGAGTTAGAGTTTGTTTGAGAAGTAATTAGTTAAAAATTGTTTAGGTGTTGAAGCTTTTTTAAAAAATAAATTCTAACCTATTAATATATTTCATTTATGTAGGTGGTGAGATCAAAATATGTTCCTCATATGATGTTACACAACTCCTATTTAATCAACAAACCCCAGAGTTCCTGCAGTTTAATTAGGGAAAGGTATTTCCTAAGATCAAGCTGTTCAATGTGAATCATTTTTGTTTGCCCTCCTACAAAATCTTTACTAAAATCATACATTTAATATTGTATTACAACCAGTTTGTGCCTAGAACAAACTCCTATGAGGAGTATTGTTTCACAGTCCAGTTTCAACCCGGGGAGTTGCTCACTCAATGGTGATTTAGAACTAAGAACTATATCGGACGTGTATACTCGGAAAGAGGTAGACATTAATAATACTAATATCTGAACACATCTCAAATAACAAATTATTTGATAGCCTAATATCTCATTTCTTATGTGCAACAGTTAAGAGACTTCTGGGTAGCGGCTAGGATAGTTTTCATTGACAGTGATAGTGATTGGTTTTATCCATCATGTCAGTCAAAGGCATCCAACAAGAAGTTGGAGCCAAAGGAAGAGTACCCCTACTGCAAAACATGTGATAAGACTTGAGGAGATGGGATTTTGAGATATAGGGTTAAGGTCAGGGTTGTAGATATAAATGGGAATGCTCCCTTTGTCATGTGGGACAGGG